GCTTTGAAATTAAGCTTCTCGAATACCAGTGGATTCCCCGTGAAACGCAAGGCTGTCTGTCAGAGTGCACTGCTGGGAGAGAAGAGGAGCACAGCTGCAAGAACTCTACAGGATACATGCAATAGGAGTGGTTTGGACTACACACTCTCTCTCTCTCTCTCTCATACACACACAGGCACGCTTAGGAAAAGCTCACACCATATGTTCAGGCAACACTACCACAAATACCTCAAATGAACACAGTTTTAATAGAATCCCTTTTCTGGCCAGCATGCTGTAATGTTTCCTTCTATGATGAACTGATGAGAGCAGGATTTTGTTTCTACTTCTGTTTTCCTCTGGCTGCAATTTAAATCCCATTAACCCCCTCACCTTCTCTCAGCCTCCCACTCGGCTTTTCTCTTCCTCTTCTTCTTCCAATAAGTCACTCAGGATAATCTTTCTCACCCTTTTTCAACTACACATCCAGTTTTGATGTATAATTGTGCCCTCACTCCTTCTTTCACTACGCTATAAATCTTCCTTGGCGACACTGTCAAGAAGCCGGCATGTTTTTCCTGTGACAGCAAATACTTCATTCTCAGGATATGGGCTGTGCAGTCCATGTATTACACCGAGCACACATGAACACACAATATGCAAACAGGTACACACATTAAAGAAGTAGCAAAACATAAGCAACAGCAAATGACACCAGGTATCCCTTAATACATTATCTTACACATACACAAAGTGACTAAATGTGAGCATCCAGTCATAACATTGATTGATTGATTTGCTGTTTTAGCTCCGTAGGTTAGCAAAGGTTTGCTGAATGAAATAGTGATACACTAAGCCAAATTGCAAGAAGAAAGAGATCCCTTCCTGATGTCAGTAAAAGGATGCAAGACAAAATCCAAACCTCCTCCTGTTATTTTAGGGGCATTCCATAGTTCAGCTGAAGCTTATAAAAAAAATTTCAGTCAGATTTACTCGTATGAAGATGGTATCTTTGAAAGTCCCAGTGTTTTTCTTAGAGATTCCTCTATTTCTTACTTTACTCAGACTGTGACTTTCCCATTTACCTTTATGCAAATCCATGAAAAAGCCATCCAGAATATTACTTCGTAAAAGTTGACTTCATTGTGTTGCCAAAAAGCCCATCAGAAGATCTAACTCATCTCTTAAGCCCCCCTTATAAGTGTGCCATCCTGCTGCCATCCCATGAAGCAGAACTGTGAACAAAATAATCAGTTTTAAAAAGCATGCAACAGTAATAATAAACAGAATATGAGTGGAGGTTATTAGATTTTACAGTGATTGCAAGTTAAAGATCTGTGGACCTGCAGCCCCTCTGACACCGACTGAGCACTATACTTACACACCTGTCAAAGTTCATCTTCAGCATTCTAATTAAACACACATCAGCAGAATGAAGAACATGAGAACCACATATAACTTCTGTTTCTATGTGGGAGTTTGGGAGGTACATTTAACAGCTACTACAATGTCTTGTGGCAGATCTCATTTCATTGACTAATTCATATTATTACCAAATAGGGAAATCACAGCATCACCCAGGCTTTCACACTTCACATGATACATGTCCAATAATGTTAACACCAAAGCGGGTGGTAATTACTTAAAAGTTTGATCTAACTCTGGCCTTTATAAAAGATTGAATTCGCTTTTGTCTTAGTCTCTGTATTCTGAGCATTAAATAAAGTCATCATTGAAACAATAAATGCACAGCAGCCCTGAGTTTGGGGGGCAGTGAGGTAAACTACTAGAGTAGAAATAAACTGCATGGAGCAGTATGTGAGAATGTAATTATCTATGTAGAGCCCCCAACCAGATGGGCACTCCCTCCTGACAGCTCAAACCCCAGCTATGGCAGACACTCTGGAGCAGATAGCATGACACTAGAGGACATGGCACCTGTTCCCCCGCTGCTCTTTTCTCACCTCCCCTTCCCCAATGAAACACACACTGGCACTTTCTCAGCCATGAGGTCATTGGCTCAGTCAGGCCAAAACTAGCACTGACACCTGCAACACCTGCCAGCTCCAAATGATCATCCGAAACCCAGCCTGCGGAGACACCTATCTCATTCTATTTCCAAACCCCAGCAGACGAAAAAACTGGGCCCATAATGAACCTCTGTACCAGGAAGTGTCTCTAAAATATGAATACTATGAGCTCATGTGATGCAAGAAGTCAGACAATAGGAAAAGATTTAGATTTGGAGAATAACAAAGAAAGTGTTTTTTTTTAGAAATAGAGCTGTAACTTTTCATTATTTTCATTATCCTTTAATCTGCTAATCATTTTTGTAATTAATCAACTAAAATGTGAAACATCCTCATTGCAATTTTCCACCACCAAAAGTGACGTCTTCAGTCGCTTCTTTTGTCAAACCAACAGTTCAATATAGCCAAACAACTGCATTAAAAACTTGACAAAAAGAGTTGTCCATATTTAACCGCCTGGAACCAGAACATGTTTGACATTTTGATTTGAAAGAAAAAAAACCCACCAAAATGGATAATGACTTATCTGAATATTTGGCATTTAATTTCCTTTCAATTGATTAATGGATTCCTCAGTTCTGCTCTACTCCAAAGATGTCTTTATATACAGATTGAAAACTGGATCGGCAGCTATGTGAGTGTGCAATGTGCTGTGTTTGCTAAGTGTGACTGGCATTAAATGTTTTTCATTTGTCCTGCATCACCTTCCTTGTTTTGCTCTACATTTGTGCACAGTAAAGCCCCTCAGCCTCTATCAACTCTCAATATTGAGCCTCACACTTTCAACTTTTTACTGCCGGAAATAATTAATATTTTTTATTTCTATGATCTTGAGAGAAAACAGGACAGAAATCATACCTTGGAGACAGAAAATAGCAAGAAAGTGGAAAGTGACCGAACGATGTCTCTGCAGAGAAAGTAGATGCAATGTCACCTGCGCCAACCAATCTAGACCCCCTCTGCAATTATATTTACTCAGCAGAATCATTTATTACAACATTAACATCCATACTTTGAAGTATGAATGGAAACCATTACAATAATAAGAAAGCACAACACACAACTGCTGTAAAACATCACTGTCTGTGAAAACATCCCTGCCAAAAGAAAATAATTCCAGAATAACTTTTATTTCTCTGTCAGGTCACACCACCGTCTTTTTTAACTATAACATTTAACCTAATGAAAGATTTTAGACAGCTAGTGCGCAGGAGTCACCAAAACCTGGCACACATCCACTAACATCAGAGAGACGCAGACTTTTAACATGACATTTCTTAAATTTTGTTTTTTTTCACCGGTTGCAAGTTCATTTTGTGGAGGAGGAGATCAGACCTCTGTATAAATTTGGCTTTCAGTTTAAAAAAAATTGTGTTAACACTGAATCATTCCAAACCTAAAAAGCAAGCTAGCCACCGTTAAACAACCAATCAGTAGCTGAGTTCACATACACCATCCTGATGTACTCTGTAGGACAAAGAACAGCAGCAGAGAAACAATTATTTTGAATGTACACTTGCTTAATCTGTGTTTGCTGGTTTTGATCATCTGGTGCGTTTTACAGTGAATGGAACCGCTGCAGAAAGGTTGGCTCTATGTAAAGAAAAACATGTAGATAATAAAGACGGACAGGTTAATTTGACATTCCCTACCGTGCTGTGGCTCCTGTATTTCTCTGGGTACAATGAGGCAGCTAAAAACCCAAAAGTGCCAGGTTAGTCTGAAAAAAATGCATGTGGCCTCTTAATCTTGAATGATGATTTGAATAATTTACTTTTATTGACAGTCCTGAATCAGAGATGATCTTGTGTGTTTGAGGAGTAAGACCTTTGACAGATCTGATCAAGTTGGGCTCAAACAATGTGACTTAAATTGTGCTTGCTTTCAGATTTACCTTGAACAAGTGAAGCAAGGCAATAGACCCTTCTTCTTTTTATTTGTACTCAGATACAAACGTTGACCTTTATGGCACTGACTGATTTATCTTCAATATGTGAGGAGTTTATTTAAGTGTTCATCACACATCATATGACTTCATGAGCATATATTTTCTAGTTGGTTTGCTCTCCATCTTTTCCCCTTGGTTACCCAAAATACCTTATGTCCAATGGAAGTAAACATTTGGAAGAATACAAAGTGACAGGATTTGTTCACTCAGTTTTGGTCTGAGTTCTCTGAATTGTCATTGATACTAAACTGTCACAATTGATTTGAGGCATGTACTGTAGAGGGGAAGGAAACAAAATTATTTGGCTGTTTCTGGAGAAAATGAGGTTTGTTACATTGAGAAAGAGAGGGCTGGCCTGTCTTGTTGCATTCTTTAATGATTACTGTTGTTAAGACTTCAATGCATAAGGGCTTGCTATAAACTAACTTCCTCGAAAACACTTCTCATCATGGTCGAACCAAAACAAAGTGTTGAGCACTGTGAGATACACTCACTCATACTTGCTCAAATAAACACACTCACACACACACAACAAACACAACAAACACAAAGCTTGCCTTGGCCTTCTCATCCCAATAATTGTCCTCTGGTGTTTATAGAAGAAGGGTTTGATGAAATGTTTAACTCATCATTGTTCATCATCCCAGCTGTGCAGACCCCCACAACTCAGCGTTTTAGTATCCAGCCACACACGCACAAACATGTTACTGTTTGAGATCTAGTCTGCAAAGGAACCCAAAGCATAAGGAAAGTTTCAAGTAGCGTCAAGACTCATTCATTTGAGTAAGAAAATACACTGAACTTGCCAGAGGAACAAAAAGCTCCATGTGCATTACAACTATCACTCAGCTGTGTTTTCACAATATCACAGTCATCCCTTGTCTTGTGACTCAGAGGTCAAATCAGGGCAAACTCAGCCTGCACTGAGACTACAGGATATGTTGGAGCATTAAAAGCTGACAGAACCATTTCAAACAAGCTTATAGATGAAAGTAGTGAAATTCTAAAGACTATGTAAGTTCAGGCGGTCTGCTTGGTCTTACCTTATGTCTAGATTTTGGCGAGGCAGCATCTGGCTCTTTCCTCTCCCTGTCTGATGCTCCATGTCCCAGTCGGTCTCTGTCCTGCTGCATGCTCTGTCCCACCTGCACCAAAGCTTTACATTCCACACATGATCCAATCACCAACCTCCTCCCATCATCCACCAGGAGTGTGCGTGTGCTGCGAGGTGCGTACAGGAACACAGGCAGCCTGGCCACGGTAACAGCACACAGCCTGTCTAACCTGCGCTGCTCCTGTCTGCAGAAGAAACACACAAACCCCTCACAGCTGTACTGGCGGGCCCAAGGTGAGCTGGGTGGCTGAGGGGGGTTTGGACTGGATAAACTAGGGGTAGAAGGGGTGGAGGGACCCTGGCCTTTGCTCTCATGTTGGGCCCACTGGGCATGCAGGTCATGGTAGCAGAGGTTACATGCTGACACCAGGCCTGTGGCATCAACCGGCTTCGCACGTGGGGCAGGAGGATGCACTGTGAGGAAGGGGAAGAAAGGTTCCCTCTCCCCACAGCGACCGGGTGGGTTGACATGCAGCTGGTACTCTCCGCCCGCACAGAGCTCAGCACCACACAGATAACACACCGACACAGAGCTGTGAGGACGAGACGAAGCACCAGAATGGGCATTAGTTGATCCAGAACCCTCGGCTGACATGGCAGCGTGGTACCTAACCAGGAAGGAGCTGACAGAGGTGATGAGGTCCTCACTGAGGCTGAGTCGATATGCGCTCCAGATCTCCTCCAGGATATGATGGCACTGTTGGCAGCAGTGCACACGGCCGTTCCTCACTGCTTGGGCATTAGGAGGGCATGGTAACATGTTAATGAAGGGGAAATACATTGAACCGCGGGATTTACCAACACCAGCCTGTGCATATGCTGTCCTCAAATCTCCTGCACATTCCTGACCACAGAGGAAACAAGCCTCATGGGAAGCTCTGGGGTCAGGGTTTCTCTCCATGGACTGTGGGGGTTTCCCATCCTGGGAAGGATGGAGAGAACCATCAGCCTGGTTGAGTGGGACAACATACAGGCGCTGAAGGACGGGCACATCTGCCAACTGGAAGCTCTGCCACTGCTGCATTAGGGAAGTGTGGCAGCTGCCGCACACCAGGGTGGTACCTGCAGCACTGATGGGCATTGCTCCACGGGAGGGGAGTGAAGCCACAGGAAGGGAAAGAAAGGCTCGCCCTGTGCCTCTCCTGTTTCTGAACACTGACTTTAAATCTGCCATTGTGTCTGAGCCCAGAGCCACAGATGAAGCATGCACATTCCTCTGGACTGCTATTCACTTTGTGGGTGCTCTTTCTTGCTGAAAGGTCTCTCACAGGTCTAAATTGAGCCGTTGGACCTGCTTTGCTGTCGTATATGTCATCATCACTTGTAATGTTAATCTCATCTTCATCAGAGTTGTCACAGTGAGCCTCCCTGGGAGCAGCTATGTTGCGTTTTGTGCCAACAGATGACAGTGCAGTGTCGGGGTGACCCTCGGCTCTCCCTCGGTGCAGCAGAGATGGATGTCTGGATGAGCCACAGCTGCTGTCGGCAGTACGCTGAATGTGACGCTGCTCCGCATGTCTGACATTCCCCTCCTCCAGCCAGCGCCTGTTGCGCATAATGACCCCGTTGTCTTGCACAGGTGTGTCAGACAGAGAGCTGTCATAGCACAGCGATGGGAATCTCTCCTGAGACTTTGCCATAGATTCTGGTGATTGACATACATTATTCATGATTTTAGACCCGCGCCTCGAAGGCAGAACACTCTCCGCAATTGGCGATCCTTGCGCCCCATAAACACCCACCGGGTAGCGGATTGCCCGCTGTGTATCCGGGCTGTTTTTAACACTGATGACATTGTTTTTCCTAACACTGTCTCTAGGCGATTTGCCAGATGATTTCAGGAACTTGTCTCTGCCCACACCGGCTCTGTCGATTAAATCCATCTCCTGGTCTGACATGTTCTCGTTTTCTGAAAAAGACGAGAAATCAGACTCTGCGCCCCCGTCGTAATTCTGGCTGCTCACGCTGATCCTCCTCTCTAGATCATATGAGATATTCCACTCCTGTGGGACCCGCCGAGAGTCGCACTGGTAGGGTCGTTTCAACCAGTACATGCGTTTCTCAATGGGCGTCCTGTTCCGTTCAAAGGAGTTCCACTGCTCCGTCAGGAAGCAGTGGCACACGGCGCACACCAGCGTGTGTCCATCCGGGCTCACTTCACACGCGCCCGGGGCTGGCTCCTGATTCTGTAGAAACGGGAAAAACGGAAGCCTCTCTTTTTGATATGCCACTTGTAACCTTAACTCCCTTCCTGGCGTGACTCCGCTTCCACATATGAAACAGTGAACTAGCCCCCCAAATCCGTTCCGATCAGTCCTGGAATTGTTACCGGGCAAAGGGCTGTCCTCGCCGGGCATAGCAGCAGCCATGAGTCGGTGTTTCCGAGATAAGGGTGCCAGCTCCTTGTCACAGGGGGAGTTCATTGTTTTCAAACACCCAAGACTAGACTACATGGCATAAGTCAAGTCATGCCCGTGGTCCGCATTTATCGGCATGTCAGAAAAATCACAATCAATTTGAGTTACTCACTGAATGATAAGATAGTCCATTGAAACGACAGCGTACAGCGAACACAGCAAATCGTTAACTGCTATCTTTCACAGGGGGAGAAATTCACCCAAAACATCCGCGAAACAGAAACATAAGTCCCGGTTTATTGTAGACTGTAGTCCGCATGTTGCACTGGAGATCCGGAGAAGTTGTTGGGATCACGCGTCACCTCTCCGGCGAACTTTCCTGCCTGTTCTGCAAAACTTTGGCTGCTAACCTCGCCTCCACTGTACACAGCGCCATCCCCGATTCATGGAACCCGCTCCGCCACCCCCAAAGGGAACCTCCACCCCCTGCCAGCCCCCCCCACCCCCAGTAATAATTTTGCAGAGATTACGAGCCCACACTCCCACAGTAGCTGCCCATTTGTCAAAGCATGCAAAGGATATCCACAGTTAAACACGACAGGGGCGTGTATTAACCTAAGTGTACAGATTCCCAGCAAAGAGGTATTCATCTGCAAAACTTCGGAACATTGGTTAATATTAGACCATGCGAGGAGGATTGCGATTGGAGGTATAAACTGTGCAAGCAGGCTAAATTGTCAAATTAATCCAAACAAGGATGCTCAAAACTCAGAGGGAACACTTTCCTAAAATGTGATTAATTAAAACGTGGAGAAGCTATAGCTTGCATTTAAAAAAAAAAAAAAAAAAGATCTGTAGACTCATTCTGCTCTATGTGCTGCTTTCTCCATATACAACTTTTACACTCTGAGCATAAGAGGTGTATTTTTTTAGCCTGTATGTAAGGGAATTATGAAGAGTTGTTGTCTTGTTGTTTCAACTGAGAAATCAATACTGTCTGCAGCACTTTAAAGTTTTCCAAACAAAATAACTTGATATTGATCATTTGACTTTACTTTAATAAATCAGGACACTCATCAGCATTATTAAGCTAAAACTAGCTGCAAGCAGCATTGGATAGCTCCCTCATACCTTTGTGCACCTCAAGGTGTTCTGCTTCTGAGATGTGTGCTTCGTCTGTGTTGGTACACATGGGAAATTGAATCAGATAGATATTAGAGTTAAAAGTGCCTCTTTTTACTTTGTGTCATGATGATGACAACGTTTTCATTTAAAATGTTTAGAACATATTGGTAATTAAAATTGGGAACATTTGAAAATCTTCATGCAGACATTTTAAGGAAATATCAACATTTTTTGCAAATTTTTCAAGATATTAGTTTTTGGGGAAATTGGAGGAACTTCCAAGAATTTTCAATACATATAACTTCCAGAATTTTTTATGGATTTGTTTTCAATGTTCCATGGAAATTTCAGAACATTTCATTGGGATTTTTATCTGGACACCTTTAGGAGTTTTCAATGGGAAATATTTAGGAACTTTCAACAAAATATTTTGCCAGTTTTATGTTGAACTTGTAGGTATTTCCAGAGGACAATTTTCAGTAATAATCTATATTTTCAATTTAAATTATTTTGTAATCTTCAATGAAAAACAATGGAAAATATTGGGAATTTTCTTAATGAAATTCTTGAGGTTGTTTAGAACAGTCTTTCCCAAAGTGGGGGTCAAGACTCACTGAGCAAGATGCCTTCAAAAAGCAGATAAAAATGTGAAATAATCTAAAAATATATATTTTACCCATAATTGTGATGTATTATACAAACAAATGGTCCAATTAAAAATAAAACCAAAGTCCTTAAAGTGAGAGATTTGTGCTGGATGAATGTGATGTGTAAATCCTTAAAATGTAAGTTTACCCATGACCGCAATAATGCAGGTGTCTGTTGCTCTTTATAAATAAAAATGCACAGAGATACACGTTTGCGTTGTTCTAATGTCATTGTTTGGATAGTGCATGGAGCTGTGCGCAAAGCTTAAAGAGGAGAGGACATATTATACTCATTTACCTTTTCAAACAGTCCCCTGAGGTCTAAAAGAAACATCTGTGCTGTGCTTTGGTAAAAATATAACATGAATAATCACCAGAGGAGGTTTGTGACCCTGTATAAAGCAGCTCTCTCAGAACGCTCCGTTTTGATGTGTGTCTCTTTAAATGCAATGACCCCCCCCCCCCTGAGTTTTCCCGGTAGACATCACTCCTCTGTAGCGACAATTAAAATGGCAGACCTGCACAAAAGTTTTGTTCTAGGCTGTGGCTGGAGTCCATGGGTGGAGTTATCAGGGGATGGGAGGTTTTTGTTTTTTTTACCAGAATCCAACTTGTGACATCACAAGTTGAACAAATTTGAAATGGAACATTTTTCTCAGTGTTGTAAGACTTATGCAGACCACAAACAAAGGACTGGATGGATTTATTTCACATTTTGTGGGTTGGTAGATACTAAAGTTACTCAAATATATGTTCAAAAACACTGTGAAAGTGGATTTTTCATAATATGTCCCATTTTTAAAAACTTCTATTTTAAATTCCTAAAAGTCAATAGTTAAATATGCTGAAAGTTTTGGAAGAACATTTTTTTAACTAAAATTCCCCAAAATGTTCTATTAAATTCTTGGAAAAACCCCCACAACCCCCAATATAATGGTGCGAGAGACCAGGGACCCCCACTGTCCCTGAAAGTTGTTTAAAGAAAGTGTATCACGAAAGTCACAGTAAACTTACAGAGCTTTTTAGCTGAAAAAATTGAGTATTTTTATTGAATTTTCAATTAAAATTTGGGAAATTCTCAAATTAGATTTTTTTTTTACAATTTTCAAAGAGTGACAGGAATTTTTTTTTCGTTTTTTTATGATGTAAATCCAGGTCTTATTCTGGAATTTGCAATTAACGTTTTACAGAATTTTCATTGGAACATTGGGTTTTTAAAAAAACTTTCAGGACTTTACCACAGAATTATTTGGGATTTAATGTTAATTTTTAGGAAATTTTTAAAGAAGATTTTCCGAAAGTTTCAGATATTTTAAATGGAACATTCTTTCTCGGAATTTCAAAGGATATTTTCAGTGAAAACCCTTAGTATCTTTCGGGAATTTTTGACATATTTTTTTTAGCCTTCACATTCATTCAAACGAAAATTATGGCTAATTTTATTTAATTTTTTAAATTTTTAAATTTTTTTAATTTTTTTAATTTTGCTTCAAAAGTATAGGACAGCCGGACAGAGTCAAAAAATTATGGAAGGAGAAATTGGGGGATTACATGCAGCAAAGGGCTGATGACAGATTCGAAACCCAAAGCCACCTCTGAAAGGACTACAGCCTCTTTAAATGGGGCCAATGCTCCAACCACTGATCTTTTGAATATTTGGAAAATTTCAGGATTTTGGATTGGACATTTTTCAGAGATTAAACTGAATTGTTTCTAAAAAAAATTGAAAGAACACTTGAAATGATCCATAGAAATGTTCTATTAAGAAACTTTTGAAACTTTTGGAAACTTTTGGAAATTTTCAAAAAAATGACTGAATGGAATGGAAATTTCTGAAGACTCTCCAGGATTATTACAGCTAAAACATTTGTGAATAATTAGCCATATTTTAATGGAAATAATCTGGAATTTTCAATGAAAACATTAAGATATATATATCCTTATGCTCATTCTGATTGTTGTTGTATTACAGAGTGCAGCAAGTGGACTTAAGGAGCTGTGACTTTATTTACTGTGACTCTTTTCAGCTTGGAAATCAAAGAAGACTGCTGAAAAGGGCATTCCTGAGTGTTCCTAACCTGTTTCTACTGACAATTCCCACTGAGAGCATAACAACATAGTCTCAGTTTAGCCTAACATTGGAGTGTTTCATTGGAGGCATTTTTAACTAGTTACTCAATCCAGTAACTTAGATATCAACACATTTGCATCTACCAATTATTGTTCTGAATGATCTGTCTTCTTATTTAGATATTCCTGACACAAAGTGAAAGACTAATGATTTGGTGTCAGCATAGATTTACAACACTGCCCTGCAGTGTCAGGTCTTGGTACTGCATCATTTGGAAAATCCCCCCATGCAGCCAGTCAGACTGAGGGTAATGCAGGAAAATCAAAGCTCAGAAGAAGCAATTGAAAAGAAAGCTGGTTATCAACTTTCTTTTCCCTCATATTTGTTTTGCTTCTTATGAGTTGGGTCTAAAGAATGGTTAAGTAATTACAAACGAGAACAATATACATTTATTTTACAGACAGACACACATGCTAACCCTGTAACAATGCTTAAACTCTCCCCTGTATAGAATGTTTG